GGTAATTTTTTCACTAGAGAACCCGTAGCATCAATACAAATAACGTCATGGTAATCAATGTATACTGCCATTTGTTCTTGTAACCAATAGTGTACAAAAAATGGATCAATGCTGACATTATGAATTTCTCCTAGATGTTGTTGGTACTTCATTTGCAGCATACTGTCGATTGGGTTTGTACTTGTTATTTCCAAATTGATGTTTTTTCTTTGTTGTTTTGCTTTTTGTAGTACTTTATTAGAAGGTAATGTAGGCGGTTCCGGATCACCAAATTCCATGGTCTCATTTGCTTCATTTCTTCTCCAAGCCGATGGAAGCATATTGCACTCAACAAGCTTTTTAGAAACTTCACACCGCCGACGGCCTTTTAAGAATAGTTTTTTGGTATGTTGAATTGTTGAGTCAAAGTTTTCGATCACACATTCCATTCTTATATAAGAATCACTAGGCGCAGGGTCTATTAAAAATTTTTCCAACAAATTCACAGTTGCACTCGTTGCAACGTGCAATAATTTTTAAGAACAATCCGGAATTTGTCGACTTGCAACGGTATTTTCACTTCTTGATAAATATGTCTGTATATAATGTCTGTCCAAGTTCCATTTTCTAAAACTGCGTAGTTCCTCACATGATTTTTATCTTTGTAATTTTTTTCTGAAATGTTCATCTCACCCCAGACTTCTGCACTGATATTTACATTAAATTCAAGATCGGCAAGGTCCCGTTTCGTATTATTAAAACTGCTATCACTTTCATTTACTAAACAAATGTCTTTTTTCACAATGTCATGAAATTCTAAAACTTTGTCCCATGCGCCATATCTATTGTTATGTAGTATTATATAAACGTATTTTGGTTTCATATCGTTGTTTAATCGATCACTTATACACTTATAAATTTTTGAACTTGGAATTACTGGTTTAGTTGTTTTCAAATCTACAATATCACTAAACTCGTTAGTTAATAGAATATCTAACAGTCTATTAATTTTTTGAGACATTTTGCAAATTTTAAACACACAAATAAGTACTGATACACTTTTGTCCAAATTTCTTCTCGGCACTAAAACTATTAGGCGGGTGGAAACTGGAAAACTAGACTGATTTTAAATATTGTTCTTATTTATACAACAACAATATTAAAACTAAGGAAGGGATATTTGAAGTAGGTAAAATAAGTTCGGCATTTAGCGTAAGGATTAAAATCCATGCCGGAAAAATTAACTAAAGGCAAATCTAAATAGTGCTAATGTTAATTTAATTTGTCTGTTTTCAAAGAAACAGTCATAAATGTCGGTAATAATACGCAGAAACAATCTAAAAATATTCATTTTGGGAATTTTTGCCTAATCTTGGAAATTCCGTACTTTTAAAAGTATTTGTGTACTCTGAAAAAATATTTTCAAACCAACAAATGATAGTGTTTTACTTCTTTGCTTTGATTTGAAACAAATTTGTTTTTTTTATAAAAATATTAATTCAATTTGAAATTAATAGTAGATTACGTCCGAGTTGGTTTCCTTACGCCGAGGGTTATATTTGACCGAGAGGCGTAGCCTACTAGATAATATTACGCAAGGATGTAAGGAAATAACCAACAAGGATTGTATAGTTGTTTATTCACAATCATATTATTGTAATAATTAGCAAATAGTAGTTTTTTATTCACTAAGTGCAGAAAGTGTCGTACAAAAGCATACAGCCTGGAGCGCATAGCTACAGTGCCAACGCAATAACTTATTTTTTTTTTTTTTGTTTCCAAGAGTTATATTTAAGTTAATGTGTTAAATTTTTAGAACAATTTTGTTAACTTTTAGAACAACTTTTAAAAAAGGGGGGCTACTGCAATTTTTTAATTTTTTTAAATTTTAAAGTTAATTTTGGAAAAAAAATATTTTTTGTTTTAGAACAGTTTAGAACAACCGTAGAACAATTTGGAACAACTAAAAAAAAATTAAATTTAAAAAAAAGGGGGCTAACTTCGTCCACTCCTGACAGTCTGGTAATTTTAATGAAAAATGGAAAGATTTTGTGAAAGAACATTTTAACATTTCAGATACATACGCCTGAACTCTTCGATTTATTGGAAGATTGTGTAGCAATTTTCATAAACTTCAAAAACTATCTATATCTGTTAGTGAATTTTATTGTTATAAAGAACAATTGAAAGTATTATTTTTTTCTAATAGGTATGAAGGTTTAAAGAATTTTTGGAAATGATGGATTTAAAAGTGTTGTTAACAAATTATAGTTTTTTAATGTGATTGAAGCAGAAGTGTTGTTCTGTATATGTCAAGGTCTTCTTTTTTCTTAATTGTGATTTAAAAAGTGTTATTCATTACATGTCAAATTCTTCTTTTTTATTTTTATTAGATATGATCGCATACTTTGATTACCATACGGTGCAAGAGAGAGGTCCGACACGCCCAACATAGGGCGCGGCCATTTTGATTCCTATGCCACAGTTTATAGCTAAAGAATCAGATCGCTCACTCTGCGTCGGCACTTTTAATCTCAATATTCCAGTTTATACACTGCGCAACTCGGATAATACAATATATGACAACCGCCTATAATAAAACAGCAGTTGGTTTGGGAAATTTTAAAAATATATAAATGAAAATTAAATAAAATTTACCTTCATTAATTTCCAAGAACTGCGACTATCTGGAGTCTGACTTGCCAAAAAAATAAGGAACAGGAATATTTGGGTAAAAAGGGGAAAAATTGGGATTTATGGCTTACCAATAATCCTTTAATTTACTCTAAGTAGTAAATCACTAATTGTTAATTAATTTTCGGTGGAATTGTTTATCAAGCCGGCACTAATTTTTACACACAAAAAGCCGTGGTTTTTAATACGAAGGTTCAAAACGGACTGGGCTCTGTTTCGACATGAGCTTAAAAATATCTTTTAATAAAAAGAATTAAAATTAAATTGATTTATGAACGTGGACTGTAGGCAACCAATTTTACTTGAAGAGTTTAATAAAAATACAAATGGCCGTAACAGCAGTCTTCTGCGTATTCTGAATTTGTATCCCTGGAGTGGATGTTATTTTGGAACTTTCAACTGGTCCGAGTGAGCTAACTGATTCTTTAGCAATAAACTGTGACTCCAAAAATAATATTCACTGACAGCAGCAAGCAAAATATCAGGTGCGTTTTAATCATCCGCTTCTGCTTCCGGAATTGTCGGTTTAGTCGTTTTAACCTGTCAGATTAAAACAAGAAAACCGACAATTCCGAAGCAGAAGCGGATGATTAAAACGCACCTATTAAAAATATTGCGCCAAGATGTAGGCAACACGTAATAAGGGATCAAAATGGCGAAGTTTTATATCTCCTTTTAAAAGGCACTCAGAAAGCTGCGCAGTGCGACCATTCTCCGTATAGTAAAAGAAAATCAAAGTATGTGGATATGATTGATACAGACGTGTTGTGTTGTATATGCCAAATTCTTCTTTTTTTTTAATTGTATATGATTTGTACAGAAGTGTTGTTCTGAACATGTCACTATACTTTTTATATGCGTGTAATAAATATTTCTTTTTTAGTTTTATTATTTATTATATTATTTAAATCCATTTTCGTGCACTGTTAACACATTCATATTCTCATCTCGCTTCCTTCTCTTCCTTTGACTACCCTCTCAACCTTCGTGTTTCGATACTAGGATATCTCCAATTTGCGCTTTTATATACTAAAACTGTATGTGTTCGATTTGAGATCCAACTTGAGACAGGAGCAGCACTTTACATACTACTATAATTTATCAATTAAAACATGAGAGCCTTATTTAGAAATAAATTCAACAGTATATTATGTGCTTTATTTGGCAATAAACAAGTTTATTTTTATTATTTTGACAAAATTATGTATTTTGGACTGCGCTCCTAGCACCAGCGCCTTTGCGGTGAATTAAGAAAGCTCAATTAGAGTTCGTTTTTTGGGACTGTATTTCGAGTATGCCGATTCGCCTCCTTATCTCTTGTCTTCATAGTTGTAACTATGAAGGTCTCAACCCGCCTTAGAAATCTCACCTTTACAATCAACAGCTGTTGTTTGACAGGTCATTGGAGAACGTTTGCAATGTATGGAATGTTAGGAATGTTAGGAATGTTAGACGTTATAAATGATTGGAATTTGTAAAATTAGTCACATAAGAAATGCATAGGCGGATTTTAAGAAAATTGATATTAGTTAGGATGAATTGAAAATTCTGAAAATCAATAGGGTTCTAAGTTAGAAGCAATTATTTAAGAAAATCAAAACCGCAAGTCAATTAAAATTTTCGTTCTAGAGTTATCGTGCCGGCATACATACACACAGACGACCAGACGAAAAATTTATTTTTGCATTTTCGGAAACGTGAAAAAAAGTAAAAAAAAATGGGGGTAAGAATTTTTTTTCGTCCGCACGAATGCAATACTGAGGCCCCATAAAAAGGGCCTCAGTAAAATATATTCTTTTTAACATAGACTATATTTTAAAGAATATCAATCCTATTGTTCGTTTATCTAGTGCTACTAACCCTGGCGTGTTTAGAAACTAGTATATTGCTGATCCTATTTTGTGATCGAGGTTAATAATTTGTGATCCTCTCTACGAGTAGATTAGTAATCGCTTGCATAATTTTTTAGAGAACTGACCCAATTTTTTTAGTATCTGGTGTATGACAGTAGTAGTTTTCAAGTTTTCACATTTTCATTTATTTATTTGTAACTTATAATGCGTGTGCAAATTTAAAAATGACTGTTGCACTGAAAAAGTTAAAAATTGACAAACTTAAATAAATAGTATCAATAATCCAACTGGTTTATTAACTGACAGCACTAAGTTCAGTGATACACGTGATTCGTCGGGTAAGCTCAGTAATCTGTATTTATATACTATAGTAAGTTTCCGAAAACGCCTATAATCACAGTGAATCACGCAAAAACAAAACTGTCATCTGTATATTTTAACAAGCCTTTTGTAGAATTCATAATATTTACTTACGGATTGACGTACTGCGTTATATTACTGAAAAGCGTTTTTACAGCCATTATGGTAAATAATTGAACACACAAATCCAGAGTGCACCCGCTAGTATCACAATAATCTGAGCCCAGGCCACCATAAGCCTTCCAAACTTTTAAATCTCCAGGATGAGTAAAGAATCTACCCTGTAAAAAACTTCAATTTTAGAAAAATATTCCAGTTTTCCTTTTTAAGTACAAGTATATAATTAAATAGTACGCAAATAGTAAAGAAATAGTAAAGAAATAGTAAAGAAATAGTAAAGAAATAGTAAAGAAATAGTAAAGAAATAGTAAAGAAATAGTAAAGAAATAGTAAAGAAATAGTAAAGAAATAGTAAAGAAATAGTAAAGAAATAGTAAAGAAATAGTAAAGAAATAGTAAAGAAATAGTAAAGAAATAGTAAAGAAATAGTAAAGAAATAGTAAAGAAATAGTAAAGAAATAATAGTAAAGAAATAGTAAAGAAATAATAGTAAAGAAATAATAGTAAAGAAATAGTAAAGAAATAGTAAAGAAATAATAGTAAAGAAATAGTAAAGAAATAGTAAAGAAATAGTAAAGAAATAGTAAAGAAATAGTAAAGAAATAGTAAAGAAATAGTAAAGAAATAGTAAAGAAATAGTAAAGAAATAGTAAAGAAATAGTAAAGAAATAGTACTGAAATAGTACTGAAATAGTACTGAAATAGTACTGAAATAGTACTGAAATAGTACTGAAATAGTACTGAAATAGTACTGAAATAGTACTGAAATAGTACTGAAATAGTACTGAAATAGTACTGAAATAGTACTGAAATAGTACTGAAATAGTACTGAAATAGTACTGAAATAGTACTGAAATAGTACTGAAATAGTACTGAAATAGTACTGAAATAGTACTGAAATAGTACTGAAATAGTACTGAAATAGTACTGAAATAGTACTGAAATAGTACTGAAATAGTACTGAAATAGTACTGAAATAGTACTGAAATAGTACTGAAATAGTACTGAAATAGTACTGAAATAGTACTGAAATAGTACTGAAATAGTACTGAAATAGTACTGAAATAGTACTGAAATAGTACTGAAATAGTACTGAAATAGTACTGAAATAGTACTGAAATAGTACTGAAATAGTACTGAAATAGTACTGAAATAGTACTGAAATAGTACTGAAATAGTACTGAAATAGTACTGAAATAGTACTGAAATAGTACTGAAATAGTACTGAAATAGTACTGAAATAGTACTGAAATAGTACTGAAATAGTACTGAAATAGTACTGAAATAGTACTGAAATAGTACTGAAATAGTACTGAAATAGTACTGAAATAGTACTGAAATAGTACTGAAATAGTACTGAAATAGTACTGAAATAGTACTGAAATAGTACTGAAATAGTACTGAAATAGTACTGAAATAGTACTGAAATAGTACTGAAATAGTACTGAAATAGTACTGAAATAGTACTGAAATAGTACTGAAATAGTACTGAAATAGTACTGAAATAGTACTGAAATAGTACTGAAATAGTACTGAAATAGTACTGAAATAGTACTGAAATAGTACTGAAATAGTACTGAAATAGTACTGAAATAGTACTGAAATAGTACTGAAATAGTACTGAAATAGTACTGAAATAGTACTGAAATAGTACTGAAATAGTACTGAAATAGTACTGAAATAGTACTGAAATAGTACTGAAATAGTACTGAAATAGTACTGAAATAGTACTGAAATAGTACTGAAATAGTACTGAAATAGTACTGAAATAGTACTGAAATAGTACTGAAATAGTACTGAAATAGTACTGAAATAACTGAAATAGTACTGAAATAGTACTGAAATAGTACTGAAATAGTACTGAAATAGTACTGAAATAGTACTGAAATAGTACTGAAATAGTACTGAAATAGTACTGAAATAGTACTGAAATAGTACTGAAATAGTACTGAAATAGTACTGAAATAGTACTGAAATAGTACTGAAATACTACTGAAATACTACTGAAATAGTACTGAAATAGTACTGAAATAGTACTGAAATAGTACTGAAATAGTACTGAAATAGTACTGAAATAGTACTGAAATAGTACTGAAATAGTACTGAAATAGTACTGAAATAGTACTGAAATAGTACTGAAATAGTACTGAAATAGTACTGAAATAGTACTGAAATAGTACTGAAATAGTACTGAAATAGTACTGAAATAGTACTGAAATAGTACAGAAATAATACAGAAATAGTACAGAAATAGTACAGAAATAGTACAGAAATAGTACAGAAATAAATCATAATTCGGTTGATGAGCTAAAAAAATTTTGATAACTTAAAAAAAGTCGTTGCCCAATTTTTCTTCAGGTCACCAACGCCTGCCAAGAGGGAATACTGAGAAACCCTACACACTTAGTATCAGATAGTACAAATTAATGTAAAATAGTACACATGTAGTACAAAATAGTTCATATAGTTCACAAATAGTAACTCCTAGTACACAAAAAGTACATAAATGGTACACAAATAGTACAGAAATAGTACACAAAATATACAAATATTACACAGAGTACAGATTGCTTGTAAATCGTAGTGCAGCAGCGGTTTACAACTCGCATCGAAACAAACTTGTTTTGTTTAATAAACGTATAACCGCAAATGAGCCGTTTGAACTGTAAAGCAATGAAACATTTTAAATCACATCAAATAACTAAATTAATTCAACATTTAGTTAAACACCACTGTTGACATTTTTTGTTTCAACTACGTGTTTCGTTGGGAAGCAAAACCAATTCTTTTTCACAATAAATTATCCAAAGCTGCCTATTATAATATCGTAGTACTAGTTGTTAATTCAAAATTTGTGTTGAAAATGGAAGATAATTTCTCATTTTAAGAACTTACTGATATGCACCTTGCTTGTGGTGCAGCCAAATGTAATGAAGGAGAATCTACGCTTGTATGAACAAAGATATGCATGCAATCTCATTGAAGCCGACTCTAAACTTTGTTTACTATCTTACCCGCGATATGAAGTCTAGCGCAGGCCATATCGAAACGCACTGCTTCGAGTTGCTACCGCAGAAATCGCTGCGCTAGAAAAAAAATTTCTATTTTGCAGAACTGTTTCTGTTGCAAGCAAAATGCATTGGAAGGTTAGAAAATAATGTTACAAAATAAAAGTATTTTTCATTGTTAAGCTAACCAATTATCTTTACATTCTAGTATTATTGTTTTTTATAAAAAAAATATAAATACATACCTACCTTAAAAAATGCGATATACATAGGTGCAGCATAATTATTTACAAATTCGAATCCATAGACTTTATAAACGTAAGCATTATCGAACTCGTACTGTGTTCTATGATCTTCTAACTCTGTTAACCACAACGACACTTTTTTAAAAACCTAAAAATTACCACTACAAATAAAATAAATATTAACACAATTTTTATATTGAACATAGTTGACTATATGGGAAAAGTTTAAGTTAATCTTTTTAGCAGTTGTGATTTAACCAGTTCTACACAAAGATCATAAGAGTGGCAATATTTGATGCAATAAGCAATTATTACACTAGATACCCCTCACAATTTACAATTAGCAAGTACTGTAGGATGTTTTCTAGCCACAGAGAAAACTATTCTTACAAGTGACACCTTAAACATGGAAAACACTCGGGTGCAAGTTTTGTTAATGCCGTTTTCTTCACAACAACGGCTTCAAAAGGATTTAGATAGCACCAGTTGAAGGGGTGGCATAAAATTGATCGAATACATTTAATCAAAAAAACATTTTATCCAGTAACAATTGATCGAAATGAAAAATGATCGAAAAGTAAATTAAGACGGCTCTCTATGTGCACCGGCGTTACAGAAATGACGTAACCTCAAAATTTTTATCGAAACTGTGGGCAGGGCTTATGAATGCGAAAGAGATTAGGTCAAAACTAAAACAGGCCTTGCGGGATTTTTATATAAATACTAAATTTTGTATTGTTTTTTAGTCATAGGTATTAAATATATGATTTAAAAGTAAATTAGACATACTAAGTTAAAGTTTATTTACAAAATCACCAGTAAATATAGGAATATTCAGATATTTAAACATATGAAAGTAATTATTCTGGTGTTGGATTGTTACCCCCATGGCACTTAGTCCTCACTAGGCCTATTGTGCATCCTCCTAAGATGATAGGCACCTCCTAGCTCGTGAGCCAGACTACAGATTTGATGTAGTTTAGTCACCAAGACGTGCTTCTCTAGTATCTAGCATCAATTATTTCGGGTAGGAGACAGGTGTAGTAAAATTTTTCTAGCTTTGGTTTCATTTTATTAGTCCAAAATAAATCGTCCCGATGAATCTGACAAAAATACAAACTATTTATATTACTATACAAAGATATTTGCTAAATCGATGACAACTCATTTTATTGCGACAAAAACATAAATAAGCGAGAATTGTCGCCTATATTAGTTTAAACCTCCAATATGTTGCCAGAAAAACATTTATCTTATTTTTAGAGCCAATAAAACTTACTTTTTCAACTAATATTCCCATTGAATTTGAAACTACAAAGTAACATAATGAGTTACGTGTAGGTGACCTTGTACTTCATAAAAATAGTTATGAGTTTCTTTCAACTATATCTGAAAATTTTCATCAAGCTTACAAAATGTTGTTTTTTTCTAGATTGCTTCCAAAGGGTACATTTGTGATGCAGTTTTTGAGCATTTAACTTCTACAATCATTTTTCACTTTAAATATTAATATACAGTGCGGATGTAAATATCCCCCCCCCCTATTATCTTTTGAACGGATCTACATTTTTTAACCAAATTTGGCACACTTCTATGGGACTTTAAGTTCTACTGCACAATCGTGACGTCATTTAGGGAAAAGTTAAATAGGAAAGTGGGATATTTGACACCAGTAGTTAATGGGATTATTAAGTACACTTTTAAAACTGCGCAGACGCGAAACATGTCACGTGTCATGTCATCGGTTAGCTGTCATGTCATCTTTCAACAGTGTTGCCAATCTCCAGTTCTCCAGACAACGACGATGGCTAACGATCACGTACGATAAGGGATGAAGAGTATTTTGTTACCTTGTTATTACCACCCAACGACTCTGACTAACGATGATGTACGACAATGAACGAAGAGTATGACAATGACTAACGATCACGTACAACAATGAACGAAGAGTATGACAATGACTAACGATGATGTACGACAATAAACGATGAGTATGAAAATGACGAACGATCACCTACGATAATAAACGAAGAGTATTTTGTTACCTTGCTTATGATATACAACGACTCTGACTAATGATGATGTACGACAATGAACGAAGATCGTCCAGTTCTCCAGACAACGAAGATGGCTAACGAGGACGTACGACAATGAACAAAGAGTATTTTGTTACCTTGTTAATATCGGCAATGACGATACGCCAATAAACGAAAACGAATGACTCTGATGAGATTTGTACCTTTCACTTAGCTTATTCTCAATAAGAAACCATGGCCTTTTTGGCTTCCCCTTCCTATCATGTTGACAGCTGCAACGCATTGTTGACAACACTCTTCTTGATGACAATTTCTACGAATTTTTATGACTTTATCCGTCTACGAGCATTTGTTTGCTCCTCCTTTCGTTTGTCTATCCTTTGGTCTGTCTCTCTGTCTTTCCTTTTGTCCTTTTGGTAATGCTAGATTTTTTTCAATGACATGCAATTTGACCCCGTTTGGATAGTAGCGAGGCTTTGTTCTGACTCTCTCGTGTTTTCACCATTGTCTTCAACATTATTCTACTTCAGCCTACTCTTCTCACTAGTACGCCTCCTCCAGTTCTTTATGTTACCAGGAATTAGGTTGGACAACTTTTCGTATATGACACTTAGGTCCTTCTGAAATATTAGCTCTCTTCAACGGCCATCTTCTTCGTCTCCTTGAAACTAGGCAAATTTTTAGGTTAGACATCCTCCTACACGCCTCCTCCTACTAAAGCCATCCCTTTCTTTCTCTTCTTTTTTTCCTTCTTCAACACATCTCGGCTGGTTGTTACAATAACAAGCTTCCTTTTGTTCTCTTCTCATAGGCTATCCTCCAGTTCTTCATGTCGCCAGACGCAGGCCACTGCGCTGGATTAAGTAACGGTCATCGTATACGATGGCCGTCACCTTGAATCGCTTAGCCGTGTCGCAAGCCGAGTCGCAAACCTGATAGCTGGCAGGTTGGCAACACTGAATGGTTGGCAACACTGTTTACCAATGACATGACAGCTGACATATGACGTGACAATTGACAGATGACATGACATATGCCGCGCCTGCGCAGTTTAAAAATGTACCCAATATTCCCATTAACTACTGACACCTCGTTTGAAAGTTATTTTAATTCTGTATCTAATAGTATATACATTTTTCATTTTCACTTAAAGTTAGAGAAGATATGGGCATTATATCATGAGCTTGTTTCTGTACTTTCACCTCACCTACGCAAGTTTAAAATGGACGTGCTAATAAATGCTGACTTTAACCACAACCAAGTATTGCATGAACTGCTGAGGTGAAAGTACAGAAACAATGTCAAGATTTAAATGTATATAGTTCTGGATACATAATTAAAATACCTTTTAAACGAAGTGTCACAAAACCCACTTCCCATTTATTTATGTTTTCCAAATGACGTCACGCTTATGTCGATGACGTCATAATTAAAACCTGAAATTCCGAAAATAATTGTATCCCCAAGTTTACTAAATTATACAAATGCGTATTTTATTGAAAAAATAATTCAGAATTTTTTTGTAAATCTTGGAAAAAATCAATACCAAACTCACCTTCTTAATAGAGATATCCTGTATGTCAGCGACATCCTATACAAAATATAAAACGAATTTCTCATAGCCGACAGCTCATGAACTTACATAAGTGCCCTATGAATAATACCGGTATATAAAAAGACGAATTTCTAGTATTGGAGATTAGATTGTGATAAATTTTGTTCGATGGTTAATATAGTTATTTTTGTAGTTAATTTGCGTATCTTTTATTTCAGTTTCTTAGTGATAAGATTCTAACAGTGCAGCGGTGAGATATTAACGCTCAATTCGAAGTGACCGGTGATTTAATACGAGTAATAAATAGAGACTAGTGTGAATAAAATAATATTAAGCTTAGTGTCTAGATTAAAAGTTGTATGTTTTCTACTGTGACTATGGGACGCAAATCAAAAAGACGGGAGACCTCATCTGAATCAGAATCCGATAATGATTACGGGCGGTATCGTCGGAAAAGTGGCAGTTCAAGGAGGAAATCGAAGAAACGTTCTTCGTAACAAGATAACGTATCTCGTACGCCCCCCTCGCGTAACGGCGATAATGATTCATGCGAAATAGTGCAAAAGCAAAATACGAGAAATAATGAATTGGAAGGTATGTAGTCTGATTTTTTAAAAAGAAATAAAACTGCCGATAATTCCTCTCATTCATTAATTATAAGGGCTGACTGTATTCTTGAATTTTCTCCTAGCCTTTCTTATGCGTCTGCAAAAAAATGGCTAGACAAAATTGAACAAATTGGTACAAAAAATGACTGGAATGATCAAGTAAAAATGTATCATATGCAGTCTAGATTATCTGGCTTGGCAAAATCATGGTACAATAGTTTAGATAATTACGAGCATTCATGGATAGAATGGAGACAATTGATCGAGAAAGCTTTTCCAGATCATCAAGATTTTCCATCTACACTACGCAAAATGATTGCCAGAGTAAAAAAACCGTCTGAAACTTGGGCGGAATATTATTTTGCCAAGATGTAGCTACTTAGAGCTTCTAATATAGATAAAAATAATGCAGTAGCTATGCTAATTGATGGCCTATCAGATAGCTCTATACAGAAGGGGGCAAACGCTGGCAGATACGCCGACCCAGAGACTCTTTATGGCGAATATTTATCATCACTGGTACCTGAGGAAATCCAAGGGTAGAAAGAGGTGATATTACAAATAAAAAGTTTATGAAAAAAGGGCGATGGGAAAATAAAAGATTCCCAACTGTAAATAAGCCACTACAAGCAAAAACTAAAGTGTTTTAATTGTAATCAATTAGGGCATATTAGCAGAGATTGCTCTAGACCTAGATTAGAATGTAAATACTGTAAGCATTTGGGGCATGTTGAAACTAAATGTCCCCGCAAACAACCATCCACTTCAAAAACAAACATGAGTTGCTCTTTTCCGCCTGAAAACATAAACAAGCACTACATTATGCCTTGTAAAATAAATGGTAACCCAACTGAAGCACTTATAGATACTGCGTGTGCTTGTGTAACGATAAAGTATGAAGATGCCAGACGTTTTGGAATTGCATGGGAACCCTGCAATATTCAAATTC